CACTGAGACAGATGTTGGGGGGGTTGGGAGAGTTGGTAAGAACCAGTTCATCATTATGCAGCACACATCTAGCTTTCAGCTATGCATTCAGATAAGGGCAAGAAGCACTCTGACCCCAGGAAAGTACAGCTGCAAGAAGTAACCACATCAGCTCCCAAGGATGTCACTGAGACCACAGGGGGAAATGTGACTGGGAGCCCCGTATCCCGCAGTAGCACCCTGTGGACATCGTTGCTCCCCAGGATGCTACTGGAGCTGCTGACACCGGAGAAAGTCCTTGTTCTGAGGAGACATGCTAATGTAGCAGGAGTAAACTGTCTGGCTGGCTGTGAACTGTCAGGGGGTTCAACAAGATAATACTACATACAGCTACGTTCTCCTTTTTTTCTTCTTGAGACAGGGTCTTGCTATGCAGTTCAGGCTGGCCTTGAGCTCACGTTGTAGCCCAGGCTAGTCTTGAACTTGCAGCAATCCTCCTGCCTCAGCCTCCCAAGTGCTGGGAATAACGGCATGTGCCACCACAATAAATTATTATTATTTTTATGTATTTAGTACAGGGTCTACAGGGTCTCATTATGTAGATCGGACTCATAGTGATTCTCCTGTTTTTAGCCTCCCAAGCGCTGTGATTATAGACACGTGCCACCACACCCAGTCTCAGTCACCATCTCAGCACACCCAAGAGAGGAGGTGCGGCACGGCAGGCTGGGGATCAAACCCCGACTGCTGTGCTCTGCCTAAGCAGGTGCTTTAGTCCACTGAGCTATCTGGCCGGCCCCACCACAATAAATTATATATTGTACCAATTTTTTCATGTATTATAAATATAACAAATTTTATGTTCCATGTGCAAAAATTAGATGTGTATAGTTAGAATACAACTTTCAACATACGTGTGGCAAAAGTTAACAACTGGTGAACATGGATGACTTCTCTGTCTTTTCATGTGAAATTTCTTTTTTTTTTTTTTCATGTGAAATTTCTTAAAAGAAAAAAATTGGTTAAAGAAACCTAATTCCAGACCTCAGACCAGTTCTAGGAAACCTCCAGTCAGCCCAAAATAGCTTATCTCTCGGCCCGCCAGACTCTTCCCTGCTTTTTCCTCCCCCAGCTCCTTTCCTCTGAAAGGAGGAAAAGAACCAACTAATTTGATTAGTGTTTTAAAGACACCAGACCCACGGTCAGCTGGGGGATGGCCAGGGGGCCGACCTGGAGCACAGGACGCACGTGTTCCAGGCTGGCCCTTGTGGCCTGAGAGACAGGCGAGTGCTAGCGTCAGCCAAGGACCTCTCCTTCTAGGGTCCCAGTCCCTAATTCTAGGCCCGTTAGAGAAAGAGAGGAAAGTCAGTTTGTCTTGATTTTTTTCAGCAGGTCAGTAAAAAATGAAGTAAGTGTTCTTTTTTTTCCCCCTTGACTATGCCCTGAAGGATCACACAAAAAATGCAATTTGGCAAAGGCCCACAGGCCAGCCCTTCCCACCCGCCACACCTGCCACATGGGGCTCTTTCCTGAGCCTTGAGAAGTGCCCGTCATAACCCCTCGCTCACTTGTGCCCTCCCTACTTCAAATAATGACATGAACTGGACCTCAGCTTCCCAGGAGACCTTCCCCTGCCATTTGTTACTTGTCAGTCTCTGGAGACCCTGGGATGTCACCTCTGTGTCTTTATGTTGCAGGGGGCCTCTCTGGCTTTACAGTGCAGAAGCTGCAGTTGTCACGAGACTTCTATTCAGTCGTGGAGTTGAAAAGCCTCCGGCTCAAACTCCCACTATCAAGTCTTCTTTGCCCAGGGTTGGCTGGGAGCGGGAGAGGTGCAGCCAGGTTCCAAGGCCACCAAAGGACAGGTGGAAATAACAAAGCAGTCAGACAACCTTGCACAGCCTTATCTCTTCTCACTTTGTCACTGTGTCAGACACAGGACTGGGAAAATGCTTGGTCAGTTTGAAAGTGTGCTGTTGACACTCAGTAAATGAGCATTTATCCTCCCAGTCACCAAGAGCTAAGAAGCGGGGAGACTGGAGGGAATGTCCACGTAGGGTATGACTCCTAGACCCACACTGCAGATGTGGACCAAAGTCAGTGGAAGTGGCCCTGCTACAAATAAGGCGGCTGTGTCAGTCCACGGCGGGTCTCATACTCACTCTAGAAATGAAATGCATTTCTCTGCTCAGGTACAACCAGTTATGCCAGGCGTCTTTGAAAGGCTAGTTTCATCTTTTTTCACCTAGGTCTCTCCTCTAAAGATGTTGGTTACTTTCCTTAGGATGCTATTTTGCTCCAGGCAGCAGAGAAACTGACTCCCCATAAAAGCATGGCAAGTCTACATGATTTGTCCCAAGAAACTGGGGCTTATTCTGATGGTCTCCACACCCAGGCTCACCACTGAACACCACAAGTCTCAGAGGAGCATGGCTGATCTGCAGTGGCTCACAACTAATTAGGAGGAACGACACAGTCCAAATTTTTGTGCCAGGGGCTGTCTCACCAGTACCACACCCTGGGTAGTTTCCAGACAGCATTAGGGGAACTGGGAACTCAACCTGCTGACTGGGCGCAGAAATGTAGGACCTATCTTACACATGCCAGAGTGTGGGAAGCCTCTGCCTTTGAGTGAGACATCAGGAGAGGCCTCCATAGAAGAGCCTGATTTGACAGCAACATCTTGAGTAGAGTCTAAGCTCTTAGGCCATTTTGTACCATCAATACAGCTCCTGTTTTCTTGAAAGAGAGAGAGGTTTGGGCCACAGTCTGAAAATGAATTGGAGGGGACTTGGATATGGTGTAATGCGTATCTCCCCACTTCCTCCACACTTGGAGCCCAAGATCATGAGACCCAGGGGGCCCGGGAGATGGCTCAGTAGAATAAGCGCTTCCCTGGAAAGTGCAAGGGCCTGAGTTCAATCCCCCGGTTCCAAAAAAAAAAAAAAAAAAATTAGATCCAGAGGAGCCAAAGTGTTACTGGGAATAACTAAGTTCTGAGTTGCCTTCTCAAGAACCAAAGGCTACATGATTTTCCCTTTGGCCACCAAGGCATCCTTAGGAAAGGAGTCAAGTCATGATCATACACTTGATTCTATAAGCCAAAATAAAACACAATTTCTCTAGTCAGCCTTGTCTCCAGGACTCTCACACTGCACCACTTTAAAAGTATGAAAAAGGGGCCGGGGAGATGGCTCAGTAGAATAATCGCTTGCCTGGCAAGCTCAAGGGCCTGAGTTCCACCAAAAAAAAAAAAAAAAAAAAAAAAAGTATGAAAGAGAAGGAGCTGCCATAAACAGTCTTAATTTTTAGAACTACCTGTGTTGCTCCTTGGCAGGGACATCCGGATTTTTTCGCAAGCCTGCCACAGAGAGAGCCCAACCCACACTCCTAATCCCCCTTCAGCCACACATTCTCATTCCATAGTCACCCCGCCCATTTGTGAAAATCTTCAAGGAGCCTCTCCCATGTTTCACTAAAAATGCTCAGATGACTAAACCACTCCCAAGTGGTTTTGATGTCTTGCTGATTCCAGTAATATTTCAACATTATTCTGTCTCCCCCTTCTCACCTTTAGCACGTATATTTCTTAAAGAGCCTGAAAGAAATGGGTTTGACTATCTAGGTTGGTAGCTACTACAGTATGAAATTCTCCTTCCTTTTTCTCTCCCTCTCTCTCTGAATTTAAACAAGAACAGATTGAAATTACTTCAAAGCCCCACACCTGACTGACCTTGCCATTTCCAGTGTGTTTGGGTTTTTCTGCCTTAGAATGAATCAGAAGCCCCCACAACACTCCGGTGGATCCATCGAAGGCTTCCAGAGGTAGATACCAGCTTGGATATCCAAACCCATTTCTCTTCTGTGTAGCTCAGTAGTAGAACATGTACTCAGCATGTCTGAAGCTCTGGGTTCAATCCAGAGAGAGAGAGAGAGAGAGAGAGAGAGAGAGAGAGAGAGAGAGAGAGAGAGAGAGAGAGACACCGACACACACACTGACACACAGACAGAGACAGAGACTGCTAGATTGCTTCTCACCTATGCAGGGAATAGTCACATATACCCAAAGGTCTGTAGTAGAAAACCGGAGCCTTCTGGCACCCTTAGCACCACAAAAAGCCAGCGGCGATGGGACAGGAAGAAAGCAGTGGTTTTTTCCTGAGCTCCTCCACACCCACACACTAATGCTGCCCCAGCTCGCTCTCTTTCATTAAACACAAATCCCAGTGTTGCCTTCTTAGACATTTTTTCCTATGTAACTGAAGGCAAAACACATTAAATATTTGATCTCATCTTACTATGATGCAAGCTAGCAGGTTCATAAATAATCCATTGACCTGGTTCACTTTTCTGGACAAAATTGATCATAAAAATACATACAAGCTTTTGCAACGTCTGACTCGTAGAAATTCCCCTGTTCTTAGGGTTTTTAGAACTCTCCCAACCGAAGTAGGAACAATTCAATCTAAAAGTAAAAGGAAACCTGCTCTTTAGCTCCAGAGAGCTCTTTTAGAACAAATTTGAACGCACACACTTCTCAAGCAACCGGATGGGCGCGCACACACTTGAGCGACGTAGAAGCACTCCTTGGAGTTTCCCATAAATTCTGAATGGCCTGAGAGGGATCTGAGCGTCAGCCTTGGCAGCAAAAAACACTCCAAGCGCAGCGAGACCCAGCTCACGTCGGTGTCACTCAAAGGTTTCCCTAGGTATTTGGGCACCTGTGTCCACTAGGACCCTCCCTGCACAAACGCATAAAGCCGTGTGCACACGACGGCAGCAAAGTGATGAGCAAACATAAAACATGGCTTGAAACTAAGGCAACTTTTCCCTACAGCGCAGGACTGCACTTCTGCTGAAGACCGAATCCTCCTCCTGGCCCAGCCTGGGCTTGCAGTGGACAAAGGAGCCCAGAGGCACGGAGCCCTCGCCAGACTGGACGGGGCCGGAGCTCAGCCCGCTTCGAGAGAGGGCGGCACCTGGAAAGAAGCGGGGTTACGGGCAAAGGGGAGCGGACCCACCTGCCTGGGCGGCGGGCGGCGGAGCGACCCTCGCGCCCTCGAGGCCCGGGGCGTCCGCTGCTGTGCAGAGCCGGCGCCCGCGCCGCACTATTTGTACTCTCAGCCCCTCACATGGTCTGATCTCTAGATAGCCGCCGCCAAAGAGCTCTTCAAGAATCTTTGCGTCACTTTGAGACGTAGAAACTTTGTTTCTCGAGACCTGAGGCGCGGGGGGTGGGGCGGGGTGGGTAGCGTCTCCTGCGTGGGGGAGGGGCGGGACCCCCGTTGTGGGGCGGCGACCAGAGGGGGCGGGCGGGGCCGCTAAAGGAGCGGACTTCTCGGCGGCGCTCGAGGCTGTGGACTGCTGTGCAACCCTAGACGTTAATTTCCTCCCCTACCAAAGGCGCCCAGAGGGGGCTGGAGGTTTCTGCTCCACCTCAGGTCCTCCGAGCAATCTTTCCGACCCAGAGGCTCCTCTCCATCGCCCCCCACGAGTCCTGCCCCGCTTCTCTCACTAGGGCCCACCAGCTCCCCGCCCTCCACGGGTTTCTCTGGCCTGCGGCTGGGGCGTGAGAGCAGCCAGAGGGACCTCGTCTAATTCTTTTCTGTCCGCCGAGCCTCCAGCAGCTGCACACAATAAATACGTGCAGAATGAATGGAGGATGCGCTCATCTCCTCAGCCCGCCACGGTTCAAAGCGGTTTCCAGCCTGAAGGCGAGGGCCGAGCTGCGGGAGCGCCCCTGCCCCTTGGTGCTTGCTGAAGGAAGGTGTTTGAGGGGTTTAATAAAGCAGCCCTTTGTCTGAAACCATGTACATAGGTTGTTTTGTTTTTGTTTATGAAAACAATAATGCTAAAGATGAATGTAATGTTATTACACTGCCTTTTCATTAAAATCACACGATCTCTCCTCCTCGCAACAGAAGCAGTTTTGCCTTGAGCGGACAGAGACGTCAGGCTTTGGTTGATCAGCCTACTTCTTCCTCTGGGACGTGAGGGAAGAACGGTAGCTAAATCCAAGCCAATGAGGAAGCAGCGACGGTAAGTCTCGCCCCTTTATACCTGGGGGAGTTCAGCCAAGAAAGCCGCGCGCCGCCGGAGGCTCACAGCCCAGAACGATCAGTGTGAAGTTTTGGTGCCACCTAGAAGCCAGGGCTGGGATTGCAGAGAGAGCCGGGAGCCTTCCAGCAGCGGGGCGGTCAGGCTGGTGATGCCGAACAGTGGGCATTTCACGTCCCAGCCACATCCCCAGGGTGTGTGTGTGTGTGTGTGTGTGTGTGTGTGTGTGTGTGTGTGTGTGTGGAGGTGGAGGTGGAGGTGGAGGTGGAGGTGGAGGTGGAGGTGGAGCGATAGGTGCCCCACTGTGCTCTTTCTCCCTTTCAGTTGGGACATCTCCTCTCTGAATGCTCCTGACCAAGAGGTACTCAGAAGAGGACATCAGATTGACACAACAGAACCTTTCCCTTGTTACTGCCACATCCCTGAGAAGTCAGCAAGAAATCAAACCTTTTGGTTCTTTTTTTTTTTTTTTAGACAAGGTGTCATTATGCAGTTCAGGGTGGCCTAGAGCTCATTATGTAGCCCAAGCTGGCCTCAGACTCCTGGTGATCCTCTTGCCTCAGCCTCCCAAGTGCTGGGATTACAAGTATGTGCCACCATGCCCAGCTGAACCAGTGTTTTGGACAAGTGCTCCTCCTGAGCTGTGGGTGTCAGGGATGCCCCAGCAATCACATTGTCCCAACAGACCTGACATCTCCCCTAGCTAAGGCATCCTAATCCTCAGTGTTTCAGATACTTATGGCTACATGGCCCTGCCTTTCCCTGGCATCTGCCTCTCTCTCTCTCTCCATCAGGATACTGGATTCTGATGTCTTGTCCTCAGCTTACACAGTGTCATGTGACCATCCCTCTGTGCCCCAATTTATGGTGGGTGAACAGATGTCATCTGTTCCCCAGACATGGCTTCTCTGCTTCCTGACTGCTTCCTGGCCTGGGCATGACTGCAGTTAGGCTCCAGGGAAGACATTTTTGTGTTGTGTTAGGTTTTGGTATGAAATTCCCCCAAAAGGCTCATATGTAGAAAGCTTGATCACCAAAATACAGCAGTGTGCAAAGGTAGGGCTTTGGGAAAATGACTGGGTCATGAGGGTTCTAACTTCATGTCACCCTTGTGCAGAGCAGAGGACCTCCATGGCAGGCTTCGCTGCCCTGAGAACCCTAGGCTTGTGCCCGGGACACCACCACAGCCACCTGTGCAGGCCCAGCTCTTCCAGATGGAGTGGGGTAGAGGGATTCGAGGGAAGGCATCTGAGGAGTCCTGCAGAGATCTTGTGAGGGTGGGGGTATGGGAAGAAGGGTCCCTGAATGATCAGGAAGGTGGCTCTTACTATAATAGATGGTGCTATTAAAACCAGTGCCTGAGGGCTGGAAAGGTCACCACAGCAAATCAGCAATGGAATCTCACACACCAGTTAAAACATATGACAGGTTTTGTTTGTTTGTTTGTTTTTTCTTTTTCCTCCTGATACTGGAGCTCAAACCCAGGGGTGCTCTACTACCACTGAGCCACATCTCCAGCCTTTTTCACTTTTCATTTTGAGGCAAAGTCTCACTAAGTTGTTCAGGCTGGTCTTGGACTTGAGATCTTCCTGCCTCAGGTTCCCAAGTGGCTGGGGTTACAGCATGTGTCATGATGCTTAGCTAAAAGCAGCATTCTTTAAAATTATATTTTAAAGTGAGGATAAGGAAAGAGAGGAAAAGCACATTCTAAAGAACCCCAAGCTTCTCACAGATCAGGGAAGAACCCTGACAGATTCTCAGGGACCCAGCTCTATTTAATGGCCTACCGGCTCACAAGGACAAGTGACTGCCAGCGTTTGTTCATTTACTTAGTTTTGTTCACTTGAGAAAGAGGCAGATGTTTCCTCTACATTGCTAACAGGGGTGCTGTGAATCCAGAGGTGAAGTCCAGTGCTCTGCTCAGAACCTGATGAGAAGCAGAGTGAGAATTTGAGGCCTCTGCTTTCAGCGCCAAAAGCCATTTGTCTCTCTAGCCGCTTCATTGTTCTCCATCCCTCAAGATTACAGAGCTGTCTCTGGCTCTTCCTGTCCTCCACGCACCTCTGTCTCTGGAGATTCCCCTCCATCCCTTCTCAGAAAGCTGGTCACCCTTGTTGTTGATATCTGTGCCCACTGTGGCCAGAAGTTAGTCTAAAACCAGTTAGCACCTCTTTTCCGCCTCCAACTCCAAGCCGGCTCACAGCTGTGTGGTGTGCATAGAAAGCCACCTTCCCCTTTAACATCTGACAGACTCCTTTGGAGAGCAGGGAATTGTTTTAAGCCCCGGAGGGCCTAGCACAATGCCGGATCTGTTGGAGAAGCTCAGGAGAACTGATTTTTTTAAAAAATAAAAGCTGCCATTTATTTAGCATCTAAGGAGGAAATGACATTGTCTTTTGTCCTTTCTCTATCATATGGATTTTACACTGTATTTAACTATTGTTCTTTCTCTTGTCATAGTAGAGATTGAATCATTATAATCCCCCCCAGGCCATTTTTTAAAAAATGTATTTGGTACAAGCTCTCACTATACAGCTCGGATTTGTAGCGATCCCCCTGTTTTCAGCCACCCCAGCACTGGTATTATAGGGGTGCACCACCACGCCTGGTCTCAGTGGCCAGCCTGGTATACCAGGGGCTGGAACCAGTGCAGACTGTAGTGTGGGGGACTGAACCCTGAACCCCGGTCCCTGCGCTTGCCTAAGCAGGCACTTAGTCCGAAGAGCTATCTCGTCAGCCCTGGCCTTTTAAAATTTTTATTATTGTTGTTATTTTGAGACAGGGTCTCACTAAGTTGCCAAGTTACTCACACTGGGCTCAATGCAATCATCCTGCCTCAGGCTATTGTATATGTTATTAAAAAATAAATTCATTTTCTTCCTTTGCAAGTGGTGAGTTTTTACAAGAATAAATTTCAAAAATAGTGTTTCATTATATGTAGTATGGAAACTGAGGCTCAGAGATGTTAGGAATCTTCTCCAGGCTTACACAGCCCCCAAGTGGCAAGGCCAGTTTTTCTGCCTAAAGTTCACAGCCTGGCTCCTCCCGCTGGGCTGTTTGAAACAAGAATGGTTCAAGCAGGGGAAAAGTACAGTGGGACTCATGGCTTTCTCCTCACCTTCCTACTCACCTGAGCCAGCCGCCTTTGTGGAATCCAGGCCTTTGTGTTAGGCCTTGAAAGAGGAAGACCCATGAGGTACTTGTCTTCCCGAGCAGGGAAGCAGACTGCAGCTCTATGTATAAACTCGTAATTGATCGTAGCTGTCGGAACGTAGGACGCGTTCCATCCGTCAGCCTCGTGGTATTTATTAGGAGCAGGGCACTGAGAATACACTGGTAGGCAAGACAAACTTCCTGCCCTTGGAGAACTGACAGGAAGTATTGACTGTGGGGAAAACAGACAATAAACATATAAATAAATAAGATAATTTCAGAAAGCAGTTAGTGCTGTGAAAAAAAATAGATTCCAATAAGAGCACAGAGAGCGACAGATGTGGAGGAGCCCCAGGGAGTGGGGAGGGGCTGACTGCTTGGATGAGGCGACACTGGGGCCACAACCTGAGCAATGAGAAGCCAGCTGTGCAAGACCCAAGGGGAAGCTTTAGGTGGAGGGAACAGCAGAGCCAAACTGAGGTGGGTGTGTTCCAGGACAAAGTAGGGGACAGGCAGTTGGCCAGGCCAGAGAACATGAAGGGAAGTGATTAAGTTGAATCTGGAGAGGTAGGAGGGCAAGGAGGCCATGTGTCCTTGTTACTGAATTTGTCTAAGTGGAAAAGGACTTTTGTTTTGGAGACATTTGGACCAGAGCACCTATATGGTCCCTACTAGGCGAAATGCAGGTATGCTACAATTGTATTGTATTTTTCAGTGCTGGGGATTGCCCACTCTGGGCAAGTGCTTCACCAGTCCCAGAAATGCTACTATTGTAGGTTCTGTGCAAGATCCTTTCCACCATTTATCCACCCTGGGCAGCTGTCCTATCCTGCCCCTTAAAACAACAAAGACTAACTGTCATGGGGTAGCCAGAGAGATGGCTTAGAGAACACCTCAGTT